CTGGCGCGCTCACACAAATGCTATCCTCGGCATATCCGACTGGGGAGACGACAAGATAATCACGTAGGTCTAGTCTCATGTCACAGCATATACTCCTCCTATATCTATCCCCTATTTAAACCTGATTTCGCAATGGGCTGCCACGTGGCTGAGAAGCATCTCTCAGACATGGCAGAGACAACCGCTTGGCAGTATGGAAACTTGGACTCCAAGATGAGATTACTATGAGCACCGCTCTGCCGCTCGACGAATCCGTACCTGAGAGGCCACAGCCGTGGATACTGCATATACTCCATGTGAACACCATGAACTTTTGTTCATTTGCGTCTTGTCCTATAGCGCCAAATCCCACTCACGACGAGCTCTTCATTGCTGTGCCTAACACGCTGGAGACCGAAGCTGTAAGTCTACTATATTTTATATTTTGTCCCTCCTCCCTTTTTTGGAACATCCTCTAGTGTTTCTGCTTACCATTCAGCGTAGGTTGATATTTTTCAACTTCCAAGCCAGAATCGGCTACACACCATTAATCTAGGGGGTAAGACGGAGAAGAAAGGCATGGTTATGTGTCTATGCCTATTTTGGCATCAAGGGTATCTAACTCTCCTCGTCGCCTATGAATCCGGCCTTGCAGTAGTCGCGCGACTTGGAAGAGGTGAAACGTGGGACATATTATACAGAGCACAAGTGCATAGTCAACCGGTGCTCTCACTCGATTTAGATCCCCTCAAAGGTTATTTCCTGACTTCTGGTGCTGATGCTATTATCGCAAAGCACCCGGTTCCTACCGCAACTTTCCCTATCCGGGAGTCACAACATCCGGAGAAGACAGCTGATAAGAACGCCGAAACCTCAAGCTCGTCGCTACTATCAGCTGCGCTTTCGTCAGAGCCGAAGCCCGAAATACCCCCGAGACAGGAGAAGCTGGCTATTGAAATGAAACCCCTGAAGACTATCAATACTAAACACTCGGGACAGCAAAGCTTGCGCATCCGATCCGACGGTAGGATTTTTGCGACCGCGGGATGGGATTCAAAAGTCCGCGTCTATTCAGCCAAGACTATGTCCGAACTGGCAGTGCTGAAGTGGCACGACGTTGGCTGTTACGCAGTTGCTTTTGCGACGTTAGATGACGGCCAAACATCAGGGTCCCCGAAGCGAGACGTTAAGAATGTTGAAGTTAGTGAAGGATCCCAACCCGAAGCGGCTGCTCCCAGTACTTCAGATAGCCAAAAGCCCACCACGATGATCGCGTCTAAGCTGGGCCAACTCAGCGTTAAGGATCGACGGATTAAGATGGCGAAAGAGGCCCATTGGTTAGCAGCTGGTAGCAAGGATGGGAAAATTAGTTTATGGGACATCTATTAAGAGTCAATTCTACTCTCCGACGGAACTTCACGACGTTAAGGGCGATCCATAACCCCTATATCTTTTTCATACCTGCATTATAACGTGAGTAATTAATCTCGCGATTATTTCTATGTGGACTAAGCAACGACCTAGGTTTAATACTGATGGTATATTCGTTCCTATCATTATAGGGTCTTATATCATTGATCCTAATACGTATTCTATCGTCTATACGTCCGCCTTCTAATGCTTATGCTGTCGCAATTTTGGCGTCCTGGGTTCTCAGTTCGTCCTTGGTATTCTCTTTCATGGCCGCATCTAGTTCTACCTCAGCAGGTGGGACTACTATTCCGTATTTGTCATATGGAAAGTTGGTTAAGTCGGCGTAGTAGTCGGCCCATCCGTCGCCAATCTCTCCTAATTGGTGCACGTCAACATTACCTGCCTCACCCATACGTCCAGCTAGGATTTCTGGTTCTCGACCTTCGTATTCCTTCTTTAGCATTGGGTGAGGACACCATACTACTCTCATGCCCGCTCGTCTGCCGGCTTCGACTCCTGGGACGCTGTCCTCAAAAACGAGGCATTCTTCAGGTGTAATTGGTTTCTCTCCAGCCTCGAGGCTATCGTTGATGGTCTTTAGTGCAAGGAGGTAGATATCCGGGAGGGGTTTTCCGCGGCCGGGCAGGATGCGTTTGTCGTCGCCAAGCACTCTTCGATGGGATTCAAATACGGAAAATAATTCGGTCCACTTGGAAGTTTTGACTGTGAAATTGGAAGTAGTGCTGCTTGTCGCCAGCGCAATATGGACTCTTTGCTGTTTCTTTCCGCCGCTCTCTCCTTTGTCACCGTTCCTGACGCCTTCTTGATCATTAATGTCCCACCAGCGTGTCCTCCCCAAGTCTCCAAGCAACTTTTCTACACCTGGTAAAGGCTTTGCGGTTGGGAAATGTTGCTGCTGTAAAGCAGTAAGCTGGGCGTGGTAGTCGGACTCTTCAACGGGCAGCTGGGCCCATTCGTGGAAGAGGGCATTTGCTTCAGGACCCGGTCGGCCTTGTAATCTAGCCTTGATAGACCAGGGCAGCGTACTTTTGCCGTACTTTTCGAGGATGAGGTTTATGCAGAGTGTATAGAGATCTTCGGTGTCAAGAAGCAGACCATCCATGTCGAAGAGGCAGGCTCTTATGGGCGGGAAGCTTTAGAGGATAGCTGTTAGTCTTTACTTCCGTAACAATTTGCGAACGGGGTTGACTTGCTCTGTGCGAGGCGCCATCGTGTTTGATTATGATATTGAGGAGATACTGCTGTTGTATGTGGTCCGTTCAACATGTAGTATCTGGATCTCTTATGGAGATTCCCGACTTCAAATGTGAAGTTTGATCTCAATAGTCTAAATCCCGATTATATGCGAATCTTGCACTCTTATAATCGATAATCGATTATGGAGTAGGTAGGTACCTAACCCCGCCTGGAACATTCAAATAGGAGGTACCTTATGTACCTAAGGTACCTATTCAGCTATTCAACTCTTCCGATTGAATTTATGGAGGGGCAGTCTGCGGGGTAACTCTCCGACCAGGCAAAACAGGGCTGACAAGCACCGAGCCGTAGGTTTCTCCAGGGGTAACCTAAGGTTCTTACACATGGTATTTGCATAATAAGCGGGACAACCTTGATGGGTGCATATCAGCTACGAATTTCTTACCTCATACTTGTACGTTACGTAAAACCAGCTGCTTTCTACTAAAGTTCAAGTGCGAGTTAAGATCTTGTGATCGACTCTACCTTCTTACCTTCAACTTTCAGCTTTCAACTTTTTCGTCTCAAAACTATGGCCGGCTCACCAGAGGCGGCGGGGAAGGAACCTGATAAAACCGCAATAGGTGATACAAATCAAGACGCCGAAGATGAGTTGACAGCTCCCGAAAGGTTTCCACCAGAGGAAGAAGCTGTACGTGTATCCTTCATCTATACATAAAACATATATTTTCTGGCACTTTCATCTGATTATTTTATGTCTGCTCCATTCTATAGAGCCTTCTAGGGGAATCCAACGATAAAAAGTCGGAAGCGAACGCGCTGTTTGCCTCAGCCAAGTACGAGAATGCTATTACTAAATACGAAGAAGCTGCGTCTGTTTGTCCACATTACTTAGACTACGAGCTTGCCGTCTTAAAATCCAACATTGCTGCATGCCATCTGAAACTGGAGCAATGGAAGGAAACTATCAAGGCAGCCACCGATTCCATCAACGGCTTGGATCGCCTAGAAAAAGCCGAAGCTAGCCAAAAGGAGGCCGAAGAAAAGCAGAAAGAAGCAAATGTTGAAGAAGATGAAGTTGAAGAGGAGATCGTCAGCTCAGGGGCTCAAAAAAGTGCTCCCGCTGCAAAGGAAGAAACTGCGGCCGAGATTGAGAGGCAGAAAAGGCGCAATGACATCCTTAGGATTAGAGCGAAAGCTTTGATGAGACGAGCTAGGGCGAGAAGTGAACTTGGGGGGTGGTCGAATCTCTCCGGTGCTGAAGAAGACTACAAGACACTATCGACCATGACAAATCTCAGTGCTACGGACAGGAAGATTGTTCAAACGCAATTAATAATCCTCCCTTCAAGAACGAAGGCTGCCCAGGAGAAGGAGATGTCAGAGATGTGGGGGAAGTTGAAGGACGTGAGTAACGACTGCCTAATAAAAGCGTGTCTTATATTGTGTTTAGTTGCTGATCAAATACGTACAGCTTGGAAACGGAATATTGAAGCCTTTCGGTCTCAGCACGGACAATTTTAACATGGTAAAAGACGAGAAGACCGGTGGTTACAGCATGAACTTCTCTCAGAACGGCGCGAGTCAATAATACAGATCCAGGTGTCACTCACCGCTATAATAATAATAATAAACTGAACCCTACCCCTAAGCTTAAACGTGTAAGATGGATTTCATATTCTGAAGTTGTTCATGATGATATTAAGGGCAAAGTATCTCCCGCATCTTGTGCTTACCTGTTATCTTCCCATTTCCTTCCGTCTTTTGGTGGATTCCTCCTAACTGCACTAGTGAGTCTCTATTTTCCTCTACGAACCCAACATCGCCATTCTAGATTCCATTCCTTGCCGTTGACACATAAATTCAGGGGAACAACTAATGTCGTGATGAGACCATGCCCAACGGCGTATCTACTCATAGTCATTAATAAGCGGGTTTATATTTTACCCTTAGACCCATCTCATGTAGTTTACGGCGAAGCAGCCTTCTCACGAACTAGTAAGGAGTACGGTGCCCGGTCGTATAATAAATATACTTAAGATGACCAATGAGAAGCTCTAGCATAGATCTACGTCAATTACTACACTCAATCTAACCCCACCATAGGTCCCATACGTGAGCATTGATGTTAAGTTTGGTTACACGAGTTTATCTTCACCAGGCTTTATGTAAGTGATAGAGGTCCCGTGATCCGGTTTATAGCTACGAAAGTTGTTAAATGGCTATGCCGTCCGGACCCGGCCTTTTGCATGGGGTTGACTTATCGTACACTTAACTGTGCCGTATCGCTATCTCAAGGAGCGTCTCCGCAAGTACGACGTTGAACAACCCATACGCTGATAAACCTATTGGATCATCTATCACCCGCATGGCTTATCGCAAAGGAGGAGTGAGTGTATTATATATTCTCTAGTATCCCGAGATAGAATTTAAGTTGGGGTACAGTATCTTATGGTTAGAAGCACCCGCAATCTAGTATATTTTACACTCAAGCAGTGAGATAATTTATTATCAAACCCCATCCTAATATGGCTCCAGCCACGGTCACAATTGCCAACGGAGCAACATGGCAAGACGTAGCAGCCGATCGCCAACGACACAGGGACGCGACAATCGCAGAGGTCAGCCCCCCGGTGCCGGAAGTGAGCCAGCAAGACATCCCTCTTAATACTACGGGAATTCCGAAGAAACTTCTGACGGAGCAGGAAATCGAAATTACCAACATAGATGCCGAAAATCTTGTCAAAAAGATAACCTCGGGCGAATGGAGTTCGACAACAGTGACCAATGCTTTCTTGCGACGCGCCGGCCTAGCACAGAAACTGACTAACTGTATTACGGAACTATTGCCCAAACGAGCTTTGTCCAGAGCTGCCGAGTTGGACCAGTACCTGGCTACTAACAAGAAAACTTTTGGCCCGCTCCATGGCATTCCTATCAGTGTTAAGGAGCATATCGCTATTAAGGGTGAAGACCTGAATGCCGGATTCGTGAGCTGGGTAGGCCGAGTTGCCGAGGAGGACGCGTTGATCGTTCAGTGTCTGGAGAGCGCCGGGGCGGTAATCTTTGCGAGAACGACTGAGCCGCAGACTTTGATGCAGATTGAGACGGACAGTAATCTATACGGGTAAGACACAGTTACACTAATACTACCATGATGAGTGCTTGCGAAGATAGTATCTAATCCGCTAACAATTACGAAGTATCACCGTGAATCCTTACAACAGAACCTTGAGCGCCGGCGGTTCATCCGGTGGAGAAGGCGCACTAATCGGGCTTCGAGGCTCGATCCTCGGAATCGGAACGGACATCGGCGGGTCTATCCGCGTTCCCGCAGCTAGCAACGGGCTCTTCGGCTTCAAGCCTACTACCCTGCGATTACCAACCGACGGCTGGTCAGCTGCCATGGCAGGCGCTGAGTCTATCATTGGAACTACCGGTCCTATCTCAACCAGCCTCGAGGGTCTTCGGGTTTTCACCAAGTCCATTATCGACCAGCAACCCTGGCTGAAGCAACCGAGCCTGGTCGGCTTGGACTGGAGAGACTCGGCGCAGTATTATCCGGATCGGAAACTTAGGGTGGGCGTCATTTATAACGACGGTGTTGTAAGGCCACATCCACCGGTCCTCAGGGCGCTAAATGAGTTTGTGGGAAAGTTGCAGAAGAGCCCGGATATTGAGGTTGTGGAGTGGAAGCCGTGGAAACATGATTTGGCATGGTCTATCATTGTGCGTTTATTCCTCCTTCATGACGGGACAGCTCGTATTAGCTATCCCGTTCGATCCCTGGTATAGTTGCTAACACCAAAACAGGCAAAGCTCTACTACGCCGACGGAGGCGCCGACGTAAAAACAGCCGTCGACTCATCTGGCGAGCCCTGGCGCCCTTTGGCCAAATTCATCCTCCACGAAAACCCGCACGTAACCACCCACACAATCCCCACGCTCTGGGCCGCCGTATCCGAGCGCGATGCTTACCGTACCGCATACGCGAACTTCTGGAACGCGCACCCCGTTGACCTGATCCTGTCACCCGCAGGCCCTAGCGTCGCGACCAAGCACGGCACCGGCCGCTACTGGGGGTACACCGCGCAGTGGAATCTGTTGGATTACCCGGCCATTATATTTCCTACGACCGATGCTGTGGGAGATGCTGCGCGCGAGGGGGAGTACGAGTACCCGGGAGATTATCAGCCGCTGAGCGAGATAGATGGGTATGTGCATGGGCTGTGGAAAGAGCATGGCGCTGAGGGGTATAGGGATGCGCCGATTTCGCTGCAGCTTATTGGACGGAAGTGAGTGGACTGACTAGGAATTCCCCTTTTACTGATGGTTGGACTAACATCTTGTGCGTCTATAGGTATGACGACGAGAAATTGTTTAGGGCCACGCAGATCCTGCTAGAGGAAGCTGGGTTGCCAGCTGCTGTTCCCGCGTAGGGGGGCTGGTAGGTTGAGGGCTGATCTATCGCGAGCTTAATACCGGATTTTCTTTTTAAATCTGTAGTGGTTTTGTTTTATGTTTATTTATGGTATGGTTACTTCATGAAATGGCCTACTGATTCTTAAAGAACTTTGATTTTGGGCTTTACGAATGTGTTAGCTCAGAGCCATATATTCGGCCTAACGAACATCGATTTTATAGTCTTTCAGAATTGAACGGGAATCCGATGAAAAAAGGTCACTTATTTTTGACATACGGTAGGATGCTGAGTGTATAAGGACCAGTTCGACCGGGAACTTCAAGAGCCATGGATAATCAATGGGTATAGGTAGAGATAGTAGTTATCGACCATACGCGAATCTCTCTTTCATTGAGTAAATTTTCCACATTATGTTTATAAATGCGGAACATGGGACTGGTATTTATCGTCCCTCTTCGTTTTATCATTCTCGAGGCGAGGGAATACTCAAACATTGTTGGTTGAATGCTTCTTAGCATACTTTATCAGTTTGGTGGCTCTTACTTCCTCACGAGCGATAGAACAATTCGTCGTTCAACGAGGATATAATCTTTTCCGTCTAAGGACGCCCGGAAGCGGCTGGTGCTGGGGATTGGTAGCCGGATGGCGCTTCAATGAGTCGGTGTATACTTGGTATTGCCACCTCGTGCCCATTTAGAAGATCCCGTGAGCTTAGTATGTTTTTGAATCTTTATAGCGGCAGCAACGTAGGCGCACATGATAAATATTGGGCTGGCAACCTTATCGTACGGGTTTGTGCTTTAAAAGCCCAACCAATGCGAGTGCAGAATATGACTGTTTGAAGTCTAATCAATATTGGTTCTCAAACAAAAATGGTCCTGGAAGTCTGCCAAATCTGATAATAGAGCGTCAACGTAGGCGCCTGTACCGCATTCGAGTATTGCTAGGCATGGCGCATATAAAAAATTACCAAACAAATCCCCTTAAAGCTTTTCAAGGAAATGCGGCTTGAACTTCTTGTTCGCGCGATCAGCCGACCGGTACTGAAACTGGTCCCCATGAATCTCGAAGGTAAAGGGTTTTCGGTCCTCGGCCGAGGCTATAGTATTCTCCTGTTGCACTGGGGGAACGCTGATGCGAAACATAGTTCCCTCCTTTGGCACAGTTTTTATCTGGTCTTTCGCGGTAATAATTTCAAAGACGAAGCGCGCATCTTTGATAACAATCCCTTGTATACCAACGCGACTAGGACAACTACTGCGCGACACTTCTACCTTAGCACCGTGGAAGTCGGCAGCACTTAGTTTGGCGGCAGCACCCTGCCCCCCGGTGTATAGCTCGCTACCGAGCACTTCGCGGATGTAGCCTAGCCATAGCTGGTTCAGCGGCTCGAAGACGGTATATTTTTGACCTGATTTGGGGACATCGTAGAGCCCAAGCTTCCGCCGCTGTCGCGCTGATAGGGGTTTCGGCTTTAGAGCTTTTAAACGCTTTTGCTTCTCGACTCGGGACCTGCGTCGAGCATCGCGGGCGTTGGATGGAGGTGGGGAGGTGGGCTTAAGGAAAAGAGGCCTGTGTTGGATCTTATCCGAGTAGATGCGGTTTACACTGCCGGGACTATGAGCCCGCGAGAGGAGTTCGTGGGTTAAGGATTCGTTGTTGCCGCTATTGCTATTGTTTGACGCCATGTTGTATCTGTCCGCATCGTACCTTGATCCAGCGTTGGTGAAACTGTAGGCTATTCTAATGTTTGCGATCGGGTATTATTTTAGGTATGGTTGAAGGCATGACAAAAGTTGAAATGTTAATTGGATTGAAAGATGTTGCCTATCGATAAAGCTTTACCAGGTGGATGCTCAGATGCTTACTTGCATTAGTAGCTGATTACCTGTGCCTAATAGTGGGGAACGTAACCGTGCAGAATTATCTTTCAGCACAAGTGGCGTCAAGGCTCCAGGCAATTCACATGCTCTAAAGCCTCGGTATTAACCGGAGCTCCAGCGCGTTATATGCCGTGTTACATGCCTTCCTCTTCGCCGTCGGCTTAAAGTCCATGGCTTACTTTTAGCTACACCTTCCATTGCGAATCTTTATTCACATATATTATTCTAAAAAAACCCTGGAAGGTATTTGAAATAACCCCCTATTGACGCCTATGGATCGGAATATTCAAGCATCGCCATTGGTTCTTTCTGTAGCAGTTTTATACGTGTCCGGTCGACCATGCTTGTAGCATGTAATGCTCTATACTTCTAGATAGCTGAGATACCCTCGGCCGTAGCGAATGCGAAAACCACCCAGTATTTCGATTTCGTAGTCGCATCGCGATAATCTTAACAATATGGCACAAGGCAACGATCCTACGCGCGACTCGGCGCCCGATCTCCAGATACTAGGCGATCAGATCACCCTTCAACCGAGGAGTTACGTCGAAGCTCGCCGTCATGATGACCAGGAGCCCTTAATGCACAACATGGCTCGCTTCCGCTCTGAACCTCTACAGTATGCTACCTGGACCTATTCTCTTATTTTGCAATACAGAAACTCTAATTACCGGTCTTTTGCTTGTCTAGGTTCCTACGCGAAGTGTCCCTATACGTCTCCGGCACGGGGTGGCGAGCTTACGACAACTTCATCGGGCAACCTATATTCTATTCTGGCTTCTCCGAGAATATGAAGAACGCCGTCGTTTCTGCGCCGCTCCTGCAGAACCGTATATCTCAACTGGCTGATAAGAGATTGGAGGTCGAGGAGAAGGAAGGTTGGCTTAATAAGGATGATAAAGATTTTATTACCAAAAAGGCTCAAAGGCGGGCCATTATAGAGTCGAGCATTCGAGAGGTTGCGGAAAAGATGACTAATGACATGATTTGCAAGTTTGAGAGCAAGACATTTATTAGAGGCGCATATTATCTGGTTACCCAACTGCTTACACGAGCGTACCATCAAGGTGTGTATTTCGGCGATCTCGAGCTTTTTGTGTTATACAATATGTCATGTTAACCAGACGAGCAGGAATACATGTTTCCAGCGAAGAAGTTTTACGGTTAAGAAAGGTGGCTGAGATAGCGGAGAAGAAGAAGCAGAGCATCATCTTTCTACCTTCCCACCGATCCCACGTCGATTATGTTTCTATGCAACTAATATGCTACCGGTTGGGTTTAGAGCTGCCCGTTGTTGTTGCGGGCGAGAATTTGAATATGCCAGTCGTTGGAAGCTTTTTACAGCATGCAGGTGAGTGCATATGCAGTACTACTTCGTGTTGGAATATCCAAATACTTACTATCCAAGGCGCGATGTGGATTCGGCGGTCCTTCGGCAATGACACTTTATACACCACTCTTGTACAAGCCTATATAGATACCTTACTCCAGGGGGGATATAATTTCGAGTGTTTCATCGAAGGCGGACGCTCCAGGACAGGGAAACTCCTCCCTCCGAAATTTGGTATTCTAAGCTTTGTACTGGATAGTTTATTGTCAGGTCGGGTCGAAGACGCCATAATATGCCCGGTCAGTACCCAATATGATAAGGTCATCGAAACGGAAGGTTACGTAACAGAACTACTCGGCGTTCCAAAGAAAAAGGAGAATCTGGCTGATTTCCTAAGCGGTGGCTCGTCCGTTTTATCATTGCGACTAGGAAGGGTCGATGTCCGTTTTCACGAACCATGGAGTTTACGCAAATATATCGACGACCAGCTAACCAAGCTCACCAAATCTCCCGAAACGTTGAAGCTAGATGTTAAGACCCCAGAGAATGCCGCTCTTAAACAGAAACTACTCCGAACAATGGGGTACAAGGTCCTATCAGATATTAACGATGTATCTGTAGTGATGCCTACAGCGTTGATCGGCACTGTGCTGCTTACCCTTAGAGGCCGTGGTGTAGGCAAGTCAGAACTTATGAGGCGAATCGAATGGCTCATCGCGCGAGTAGGAGCAAAGGGTGGCCGTGTTGCGCATTTTGGAAATTCCCCCTTATCCGACGTTATAGAACGAGGATTAGATGTTCTAGGGAAGGATCTCGTCGGCGTTGTACAGGGTCTAGCAGAACCAACATACTACGCCGTAGATAGATTTCAACTCTCCTTTTGTAAGTTATCTCGCAAGTCGTTTCCCCCTCACCCCAACCATTCTAAGGAGTCGCGACTCCCTAAGAGATTTCATGCCAGAATTTCTATTCATGATATATGCACAGGAGCCGCTTTACTATCTACCGCGAGGGAAGTACTAATATATGACAGACCGCAACATGACCATCCACTTATTCATTTCGGAAGCGCTCATAAGTGCTAGCATTTACACGCGCGTCAAATTAGGCGGAGGGCCAGCTCATCAAGAAATACCCTACGATGCTTTACGAGATCAAGTTTTATTCCTTTCATCACTATTCCGTGGAGAGTTCATCTTCCCAAGCGAAGGACTAGCGGTGAACTTGGAAAAGACTTTAGTCGGACTGGAAGATGACCGTGTTCTCGACCTCAAGAGAGACGAACAGGGTAAAATACTAAGTATCGGGCTTGCAGATGAGGAGAGGGCTGCTGGAAGAGAAAACTACGATTTCTATTGCTTCCTAATATGGCCGTTCATTGAGTCTACTTGGCTCGCCGCTGTCTCACTGATGGGACTTACTCCTCCCCTCGGGCAGCAGGACAATGGTATTTGGATTGAAGTTGCAAAGGCACACAACACAGCGCAACTAGTAAGCAATTCCTCGGATTGTTGCAATGAAGTAAAATATTGAAACTGACAATCACAATAATAGCTTGGTAAAACCCTCTATCACCAAGGTGACTTGAGCTATTTTGAGGCGGTGAATAAAGAAACGTTGAAGAATTCGTACCAACGATTCGAAGAAGAAGGTATTATCTACGTGGTCAAATCAAAGGACTCGAAGGTCGCCCCTCGTCTACGTCTCGCCTCCGAATGGATGCCGTCTCGCGACCCTACCAAGTCAGGTGCCCTGCAGCCGTCGGGCAGACTGTGGAGCTTCATTGAACGTATTGCCTCTAGTAGGCGCGAAGGAAAGAACCGAAGAGACGGTGCCACAGTCAGCACTCGAGTCCTACGACTCGCAGAAACGCTAGGCGCAAAGTTGTTCGAAGAAGCAACTAATCTACAAAGCCAAGCCGAAGCGAAATTAGATAACGAAGAAGCAGCGAAGCTCAAGAAAGCTGTTAAGGCGGAAAGGAGGAGACGGCGGTTAGAAGGTAGGGCACGTTTGTAATAGCGTGCTATGTGTAAATCTGATGTAAGCTTGATACCAATCGCATGCGTAAATGACAATGGAGCGAGTGTTAATGGAGAGAATTATACTGTCCTATATCGGTAGATGGGTGAAGGGAGCCCAACCGCTCCCACCTCTCGGCCGGCATTCCCGTATTTCTAATCGAGTATGCGGGAAGACTGAAGATTGACAGATCATATTGATAACTTTCAAAGGTCCGGTTTAAAATTTGAACTTTTCGCCCTCCATTTACCGGAATAAGAATCGGTCTGCAAGAATACCCACACCACTCCACGGGATCAACACCGACTGCTGCATTATACATATATCAAAGTTCCCGGGAGCCCTATACCGGTATGCATGATAGGGTGGAACGCAGCCCAACAAACATTATTCCATGCGCAAATGGGACAGCGGCCGATAAACGCAGATTCTAGGCCTTGGTCGACATGTAAAGAGGCACAGGGGAATGCAGGGGGCTCTCCGGCACTCCTCCGAGGGAGGGTGGATACCCAAGCTACCGGGGCCGCGGGGATCGTGATGGGGATATAGTATATTATTAATACACCGCGCCATTTCTGAACAGGGACAGGGAATACCACATGTGATGTGATGTGCGGGGAGTTGACTGTCCCATACCTCTACGGGAATGGTCTCGGTCGTGGAGGTGAATACCTAGGTGGTAAGTATGAATCATCGTATACCTAGGTAGTATAAATGGAGTCGGATTCGAAGCAGACCTTCTTCCCTCTTCCTCCCCCTTCCCTTTCCTATACCCTTCGGTATCGTTAAGTAGATTAACAAGTGCCCCAAGCTACGATCGCGGCCATGACCTTACCGTCATCTACTCATCGCTATTTTGCCCCGCGGTACGTAATAGCCGCCCTTGCTGTCTCCCTAGGCGGTCTGGTCAATGGCTACGATACCGGGTCTATCGGTGCTATCACGCACATGCAGCAGTTCAAGGATTCCGTGGGCGAGCTCTCAGCTAGCATGTTAGGTATCACGGTCTCGATAATCATGCTGACGGGCACCCTACCGTCTCTGTTTGCCGGGCACTTCGCTGACAAGTTCGGACGTCTCACAATCATCATCCCAGGCGCAATCCTATTCGGCATCGGAGCTCTAGTCCAGGGATTGGCTCACGGCTTGGCCCAGTTCATTGCCGGCAGGGCGATCGCCGGGTTCGGCCAGGGCATCTTTCTTAGCAATATCAACGTGTACATCTGCGAGATCGCGCCGATGCGGTGGCGCGGCACGCTAACTGGACTGCCGCAGTTTATGGCTACCGCTGGCGTCTGCGCTGGTTACTTCACGTGTTACGGGACTGTCAATATAAAATCTGACATGGCTTGGCGTGTGCCGTACATCCTCCAATGCGCCTTTTCCGCCGTTCTCGCTTGGAGCTGTCTTCTAATTCCTGACTCCCCGCGCTGGCTCATGCTGCAGGGGAGGCAAGCTGATGCACGTCGGGCTTTGGAAAAGCTCGACTTCAATATGGCTGAAGCCGAACGTGATTTCCTCGTGGTTACCGAGCAGTCGCCTAGTCTTACGCCGTGGCAGGGTATTATGCTCTTGTTCAAGAGGGGATATCGCGCCCGCACAATCCTGGCTCTTTTTATCCTTGGGATGGTTCAGCTATCTGGTATCGATGGCGTGCTCTATGTAAGTATCCTTCTCCTTTTTGATAAACTCCTACACGTTATACGTAGCGTACTGACGTCTTTAGTACGCCCCCATCCTTTTCGAACAAGCCGGCATATCATCAGAGAATGCCTCATTTCTCGCTTCGGGCCTTTCGTCTATTCTCATGCTTGTCGTCTCCATTCCAGCTTTCTTACTGGCCGACAAATGGGGGCGTCGCACTTCCGCTATTAGCGGCGGTATCACATTGGCAACGTGTATGTTTCTAATGGGTAGTCTCTATGCGGCCGATGTAGTCCACCCCTACGGCGTCGCCAGGTGGTTTGTCATCATCGCCGTCTTTGTATTCAGTCTTACATATTGCGCTACCTGGGGCATCGTGGGTAAGATTTATGCCAGCGAGATCCAGCCGGGCCACACGCGAGCAGCAGCTAATTGCGTTGCCATGGGCCTGTGCTTCGGAACAAACTTCTTGGTAGCTATCTGCACGCCTATCCTATTAGAGGCTTCCGCCTTCGGCGCCTACTTCTTATTCGGCGGTCTCGCAATGGCTACTGTGGGCGTGCTCGCTTTCTATATGCCTGAGACTCGCGGTCGGTCACTCGAAAATATTCAAGAGGCATTCCACCGCCCTGCTGCAATGAGTAGCCTTACACAACTTCTGAAACCACTCGGTTTTGGGGCGAGGCGTAGGAACCATCCAATTGCTCATGAACTGGCGGCAGGCGAAGAGACCGAGGTAGAACTCAGTGACGCGACGGAAGCGGTCGCTGCTAGTGCTATCTCGGTCGAGGCTGTGCCTAGAGCCCTGAGACTCGATGTTTCGGTGTAGAATTGTGAGCTCTTTTCGTTTGATTAAGAATATATACGTCGTTCAATGTTAGATATTGTCGATCAGGATACACAAACATACTACCAGCAAATTATATAGAAAGGCAATCAATTGCTATGATTACGACGATATAACCCAAATTATCGGTATCGTTGTGGCATTCTAACCCTACAACATAACGTAGCAATATAAAGTACAGTGTGGCCATAGCTTCCTGCCCTTCGCTTGGTCTTTTCCTCCTGCCATATCGGAAGCCCCCATAATCACTGTAGGAGGTTCCATAAGCCCAGAGCAGCCCCAGCCAGCGGCATAAAGATTCGTACACCGTTTAGCTTTCCCCATAAAGCAATCAGATGTCGGACAGTCTCTTGGCTCAGCTGCTTGCCCGTGCCCGAGTAAGCCGCGATCATCTTGCCATTGATCCCGCCGAGGAAGATCACCGTGAAGGGAATGAGCAACAAATTCGACAGCGCTCCGGCCGCATATCCCCTCCATTCAAGCCCACGGCCATGATGCCGGGAGGCTAGGTAACAGTAGTTCAGCGCTATCGCTGCAGCCGTCGTCGGTAGGTAGTACATTCCTCTAGTGAACTGTAGATGCCATCCCCTTAGCAGACCCTCTGCTGTGGTTCCACTCTGGAGGACTGCTGGTACAGCACAGATCGACAGCGCAGTGATATTACCTAGGTAAAGCATTGCTCTATTAGCATCTCATTACATATTATGTTATCACTTTATTTCGCACCAACATACCTGATATCCATGCTGATCCCAAGATGCCGCCTGTGGCTGCGAGTGTCAAGGGTGTTGATAAGAAGGGCATTTTGGGAGCAGATAGTTGGATGTAGTATAATAAATATTTCGTGCGGGCCAGGAATCACGAAATAATTTACTCCAGCCAAAATATGAAGTTTTCTTGAATGTCAGCCAAGTACCTACTTAAGTTTCCCGAGCATTCGAGTCAGGGGTATGGGAATCGAAGAATGTGAAGTAGTATACACAAATTTTGGGCCAACTTCTAATTTGCGAACTTGCTTACCTCGGTGTCGAGACGTGAATTTATTGTAAGCTCGGACAAGTTGAATTCTCCGCGCCAGTCCGAGAACGTACGACCAATGCGGCTTATGAGGTATGAGATGGAGGGTGGATCGCCGACCTCCTAGTTCCCCAACTTGACATCATCGTTACCTATATCTAAGACGGCGTAACGAATCCACGCTGAGCAGTCATGGGAAGAAATCGATAGCTCTCAGGAAATTTAATCTGGTATGTGCACTACCTATTATAAGAAACCAGTGAGCCATCAGGATGTATTTCAAAAGACTTCGCCATGGGCTTTATCGAGACTTAACTATAACTACCCAGAGAGATGATATAATAACACCTTCATATTACAATATAAACTCCGAGAGAAAAGACTACTCCTTATTCAAAGTAACCCTCAACGACGGCGACGTGACGCTAACAACCTTCCCATTAGAATCCACATTGAAAATCAACTCATCCACAGCCGCCGACCCGTATATGACGGACTCAATGGACACCCACGTCCCGCATTCGGTCGAGAACATCTTATTGTCATTTCTCGGAGCATCCGCATCTTCGAACATCGCTTTAAACGCCACACGCTTCCCGCCGTTTTCCGCTGGCCCCTCGAGGCCGCTTGGGTAGAGCCTGATACGGGGCGTAACTGGGGAATACTGGTTTTGCAACACTGTTGCGATCCAAGCGAAGTCCGTTCCATTGCTAAACCATTGGGATATGCTTAGTCCGGGGAGTTTGTCGGTGGTGATGGTCATCGACGAGTTTATTTTGTTGCTGGGATAAACGTAGTGTCCGCTATATTGGGCCCCTGCTTCAGCACGAGCAGCCTCTTCTATCGCTGGGAGAATATGCTCTCCGATGGTATCTATTTCTATGTAAGCGTCTCTATGACTTAAAACTACTAATATTTCAATATACGTACCAGCAAGACTAAACCCTGCGTTTCCCGGAAGCTCACCAGCCAGGAGGACGGTTATGCCTATGTCAAAATCTGGTAGAATGGCCAAGAGAGCACTGTAGTCTCCAATATTCCCGGCTTTGTTGAAAGCCGTAGTATAGCGGTATGTGTCTTCTAGCTTGATCCTCCTGGCGCCCCAAGGCATCCCGACCATGGCGAGTGGGTCGGATGAGAAAGCGAAGGGCTTAAGCCATCGCCTTGTAGATACGGGCGAGAGCAGCTTATAACTGAGGATTGCCCGTCCCAGTGTAGATACATCCTTAGCCGAGGCGTACATGTTCCCAGTGCTTTATTTCGTGTTATTATCTTCAGCTAGGTGAATAAGTATCGAGAAGACCTACGCTACTGATTCACCAATATCAAAAGCCCAGCCTGTTTCATAATGATCCCCGGGGATAACACCGCGTGAGTCGTCTGGTGCTGTTAGGAATGTGTTGTTTAATCCTAGAGGCTTTATCACACTCTCTTCCATCAACGTCTGAAAGGTCTTTCCGGTTATCGTTTCGAGGGCATATCCGCTATACATTCTGGTTAACAAAGTATCAACAGTAGCATCTCTCATTTACTAACAGAAGCTGGAATGCAACGTTGGAGTACGCCGGTGTTTGGAAGGGAGCCAGAGATGGGTAGAATAAACTAATCCCATTGAAAAACTCTATCGAACTATTAGTACTCTGAATCCATATTCTATGCCATTCGCGACTCACGCGCTCGGTCGCAAGTAGGATACGCCCCGCACTATAAGATCTAACGTCAATAAATTACCTATACAGCCGGAGTTAATACTCTCGAGGCACTTACAGGAGGCTTTTCGTCTTGAGTCAAAGGCGGAAATCCGTACTGTATCACATAGTCTCTTGTCTCCTTCGACTGTGTCAATTCTCCAAGCAACGCATCTACTATGGATTAGCGAGAGCTTACTGATTTTAGGATTGATACTAACATTCTCGGGGGATACCCGTCAATTGCGTTGCAAGACCTCCAAGAGTAAGTTCATCCCACGCCACGTAGTTGACTGGATCTGATCGGTTTGCTAAAGCTTGAAGCTCAGGTACATACTTGGTGATTGGCTCGTTCCAGAGCTTGTCGCCAGCATTGATCAGGAACGAGTATATCGTATAAATCTTAGTCAAGCTCCCGAGTCTGAATACAGTGTTCTCATCAACTTCCTTTACTCCCGTGCTATTCTGGCTTGCAAGGTTTGGCGCTGTATGTGATAGTGAGAATAGGGGCTCCGGCTCGTTCGCCGAGAAGACTTGTACTGATATAGAGTAATTCTGAGCTTTCGCAGTGACATTAGCGAACGCGTCTTTCAGAGTTGCCACTGCGGCCTTGATCGCTTCGCTCTTAGACGGTTGGAGAGGCTTAGGAAAAGCAGGTCCGTCAATGGGGCATGTCGGAGAAGCAGCTGTAATAGACACAATCGAGCCTACCACGACACCGAGCCTGAGGAAACGCATCTTGCAGTAGTGAAGTCTAGATGAACGAAAGAGCGATAACCGTAGTATTAAGGACGCAGATTCGTCCTTGGCGGTGTCATTATTTGGCCTGAACTATTAAAAAAAAAGAAGAAAAAAAGCAACTCTCGAAGACGCGAGCAGGGTTCGACGCCAAGGAATACCCAAATTTCGTGCCCAGATCGTTGGGATCCTATATTGACGAGGTATACAGTGTCCCGCTAGCCAATGACAATATGAATTCTTGCCATGGCTAAAAGCAGAGTTCCGTACCCTGACGACTGAACTTGGGGTAGCTATATATACTACCGTATTAGTATACGAGGCGGTGGGATTCTAGATTCGAAAATAAAGGTATTGCAGATTCGGTCTAGAGCTTAGATAGGCGTGCTGTCGTCTGTCTCACTATCATCTATCTCTAGAGTGAGATCGGCAGTGCAGCATCGAGTGATGTCTTGGCAGATTCACACCATGATGGCAAAGGGGCTCTGTGACCTTCCTATCTAGAATTTGAACCATTAAGAAACGTGATAAGAATGTTTGTATATATATGGGTACCTTATAGCTTGATAATAAATTGGCCCATCGGAGCATATGTCATAGAAATACTGTTCAGCATAACGCTTTCCTTTGAGAATAATTAAGATGCTCAACATAGACTTGCTAATTCATGGCCCCGAGATAACCCATGACGTGTTCAGTAAGGTAGTGAGATCAAACCCTAAGAGTCAAAAAACCCGGATTTACTCTATGGTTCCGACTTACAACCCCCGTCTTCGCGGGTAAAGTCGAACGCGTAACGCTGCTACCGTTATGGTGACAACCATTTGTCTTGGCGTTTATATTGCGACGTAAGACTGCCCGGTGCCCACCGCCGGAAGAAGACTCAGTCCTACCCGAAAAAGGAACATGCCGTGGACCGTTCTCATAGAAGTAATTTAAGTTGGGAATCTAGAAGATAAGTCATGCGCCCGGTTACAGGGTTTCAAATATTGCGTAATGCTATATGCTATACACATACCTATGGTCTGCTTCATTTGTTATCAGGTAGTATAATAGTATATATACGAAACGGTGTCCAATGACGAGTTAGCATACGATACTATAATCAGAGTCTCACTAGATATACGATGTTAATATTACCTAGGTACCTAGACATGCCTTGTGAACTTACGTAGAATTCAACAGTCTAGTGCGTAGGTATAATAATATCTTGCTCTTGCGTTATTAATAGTATTCATGGACGTGACGGCTGCAGTGATAACGCGTAGGTAATACGTCTCCCCCAAGACTGAGGTAGGTAAGCAGTTGAGAGCTCCTATCCAAGACGTCTTTTTATACTTCCACTTCCAGAAATCCATATTATACTAGACGGATTTGATAGAACCATCGTAATTAATGAGCATATTTTTACTGATAATCGAAATGGATATTTCTACTCAAGCCTTATTTATCGAATAAAGGTAGTTTAATAAAAGGTATATGGACCTTTGGCAGCCTGTTGGTGAATTTTCAACTAAGCAACCGATAATGTACGAGGCTAAACATGAAGTGTTTTTCATAGAGTTAATTCCATGACAAGACAAGTTTTTCGATATAAGTGCTGTTTAATTTATCCACGTAATTCCCTATATGACGCGCTGAATGGTGAATGATGTGAAGGTATCCCATAGTATTGAAGCCCTATCAGTACGGATTATGTGTAGGGGGCCAACTTAATCATTGTCATATTAATCTAAACTAATATAATGTTAAGAAGCATGCTCCTATGAGTTTTTCTTTTTAGAGAATTGTGTAGTGAATAGTAGAGGAGTTTGCTAGAGATATGTCACGGGAAATGGTATAAGACACCTAAACCTAGACACGTGAGAGAGTGAATCAAAATGATCAGTATGACAGTGTGATCTGGATAGATGGTGAACGTTGTTGCAAGTTCGGATCCATGTGACTTTTGCTACACAATTTCGATGTGGAAATTGGCCCTGACGCATCCTATTCAGGCAGGTGATTTCCATGGGCAGCACCCTTCACCGCGGCGGCTTCTGGCATATCGCGGCGTCTCATGTATGTTTGCTTAGATTTTTGGACTTCATATATAAATCTCACTGGCCAGGACCAACACATTCTGCCTGGAAAGTTCAAGAAATTTTACTCTTACAGAATTAACAGGCACCAATTCTATTTGTGAATACCAACATACGCATCGTCTTGATACAGTATACCACTACCCCAACAGCAGAGCCAAGATGTATCTACTCACACTTATCGCGACGACACTCAGTGTCTCAGGCTTAGTAGCAGCAGTCAAACTACCCAATCTCGACGGAACTTTCATGAAGCGTGAGGTCCAGCACCCGAACGGCAGCACAGTAGACGTATATCTTCGAGATTCATTCCGCCACGCCAACGACAAGCGCTTCTACAAGACCTTCCACAACGACACGGAGTACACTCACACCGAAATATGCTTCGAGACTAATTTCGTTCCGACCACCACCGCGGACTCGGCACTTTGCGATGACTGCTCGGCCATCGAGACAGGGCTGAAGGAAAATTCCGGCTTCTTCGAAACGGGCGATTACAGCGGTACTAACCTCAACTTCCTCGCTGTGTGTGGAACCTGCGCGTTTGGGGTGAAACGTCTTGACGGGTCAAGCGCGCGAGTCGACATTGGCAGTAGAGACGTCGTGGACAATCTCGACTCGGCTATCATTAGGTTAGTGTTGTTCTTAACTCACACGCCATCTATCTACAATGTTATAAAATATAGACTTACATGAAATAACAGATTTGCTCGCGGAGGCCATGTAGGCGTTACTGGTAACTTCACATGCCAGTCGGCCCCTATCAACTGGGCAATAGTGAGAGCACCTTGATTATGCGTTAGGCCGAGCCCGTAAACACGGGCAGGTAATCTGGGAAGAGCTTAGTCGCGATGGCATATGTCGTCAGATAGATAGTTATTTTTATTTTAGTTGATTGCATTCCATGTTAATAGACATCGAATTATGATGACTTGTTGTTTTGCACCCCCCTATGGTTGTATTTTTAAATAGAATGGATATGGTAAATGGCAATATGCATCCCTCGTATAGAGACATGGACTTTTATTATTCTTAAATACGACCAAAATTAAAGATATACTATCAGACTCGAAGCTTTAGGAAGGCAACCTTGATCTCAATAATTATGTAAGACTTTCATGGACTTAAAATCAAGATAATACCTAGCTTATCACTCACATGGGTACCTAGTTGTCCACTTTTAGGCCGACTATTCGGTCAACCCTCCCCTATCTATGAGGTACCTATCCTAGGCTCATCTAAGTATGCTGGACTGTCCTCGTTGGGTAGTATAACTGAGCAAAGAGAACAGCAAAAGGGTCGGCAAAAGGCAATGGTGAGGATTTATGAGAAGACCACGAGAGCCAATAGCATTGCAACTTATGTTTATTAGCGGTGTCAAATACTCGACATTTGTTCTCTTGATTACGTCCGAAACAAGACCACATCTTGTAGAATTGGAGGGACTACAGAGAGATTACATTTCCTAGCTCTGTCGAGAAATATGGCATTCGAGTCATCGAAGAACTTGTTATATATCCTTCATTGATCACCACTTAGCCTCCTTGCGGCTCAGGAAACCCTTAAGTATACCGACAATCTTCTCAAGAGCAGCCAAATAGGTTCTCAACTCGGTGGAAACCTTGTCCTGGTCCTCCCCTAGCTTGGGGTAGAAGTCTTTGCGGTAGGGGCAGGCACTCATAGCAGCGGAGAAAACGGGCTTAATGAGAAGTCCGTGGTGGGGTTTGAGGGTCGAGCCGTATGCGTTTCGGAAAGAGGCAGAGAGCTCTTCGGATTCCTGAGCCAAGTTCTGGCTTAGGGCAATGCAAGTGAATTCCAATCCTCTGGTAAAGAAGTCAGTCAGGCGAGGAAGCTTATGTAGGGGTAGTTTGGGCATCATCATACCGTGTCAGCCATACGAGACCTTCCGTGGCGACGTGCTTCTTCGTCTTTAGCTCGTTGATGCAGAGAGCTTGTAAGGTCTCAGATTCAGCAGGAGCAGCAAGCTGACGATCCCGGATTTTCTTTTTGTGTGTTAGTGCCTCCTATTTCTCAGGCTAACTATTGGGCTTTGGTCTTACCTTGACGTTGCCCAACATATCAGACTTGACGGGCGAGAAGGCGACGGATCCAAGGACGTCTATTAGGAGGTGACGATGAGTAAATAGTACCACTAATATTTAGGAATCCAGTAGACGTACCGAACATGGTCGTTAGGGACTCGGCGGCTTCGAGGAACTCGGTAGTAGAGATGGCATTGTCGTTGTCTGCGTCAATGGGTACATCGACAAACGACTTCTTGAAGGTCTGAAGTAGAGTACCACCGGGGGGAAACGCAGGGGCAGACATGGCTGTAGTTGGTTGGTTAAGATGTTGAGGAACTGGCTAGACGAGAAAATGTCAATGTCTCAGAAGTTGATTATAGAGAGAATAGGAAGAGAGGAAGAATATACCTTTTTTATGAAATAGAGATGTGAATTACCTAAGGCAAACACAAGAAGGGGCGGTCAATGAAGCAATGAAGTAGATTGGTAGAATAGGGGTAGCTTCAGGTACTAATCTGCATTCGTGTATGCGTATTGTTACAAAAGTAAATAGGTTAGGTACACTAGCGTCTGGGTGAGGGCTGGAGGGGTGTTACTCAAAGAGGGGCAGCGGGGGCGGGGTTGTGGTTGGCCACAGCGTGGTACGTAACCTACCTTACCGTAATATGGGGGGTAGCAGTAGCCGCATATATACCGCTTATTAAATCGTAGCCGTACTTATCCCACTCAATGCAATAAGCGGCTCCCGATTCTTACGTTTAAAGAGTTAAGTGACTCAAATATTTAAGTGGTAATATTACCGCTTACGGTTTAAACGCTCCAAATATTTGGGGCGCTAGGCCATGATGAGCCGTACTAGCGCGACTCTAACCAATGAGCGGCTTTTGCGCCGCTCGCATCTCTGCGCCGCTCCCGATTTGAGCGGCTCCCCCGTATTGAGCGGTACGGACAGGGTATTATTACATATACCCGGGCCGCACAGACCAGGTTATACCCCATAATTACAAGTCCATACGCGTGCCCGTAATATGTAACATAATATGCCCGTAGTCTATTTGAAAAACACGTAACCTTCCAATTAAATCAATTGTACCGTAACCCGTAACTTGTAATCGCTATTGTAATCGCTCGCTATTGTAACCGCTATTGTAATCGCTATTGTAATTGTTACCAAAAAAGTCATACAAGTAGATTCCCATATAAAAACGTATGGGAATATACCTTTTAATTTTTATATGCACTTACCTGGAGCGGTGCACGTGCCGCTCCCTGGTGGGAGCCGCTCAAATCGGGAGCGGCGCAGAGATGCGAGCGGCGCAAAAAGTGTGAGAGGCGCACGAGCCGCTCATTGGTCGAGCGGCTTACAGTGCAAGAGCGGCGCACCAGTTGTACCACTCAAAAAAAATTGATTGGCTCCTAGCGCTGATGCGTATGAATTTGGTGAGCTTCACGTTTTTCCCTAACATCTGGGAGCGGCTCATACCTGGGAGCCGTATATATACTGTATATATACGGCTACCACTACCCCCCCAAAGACGCTAAGGTACATTGATATCATTCACTAGCCACAGATCTACAGTGGCTCGAGTGGCTAACCTGCTAGGTTACATGGTGTAACTGGGCACTCAATGCTTTGCTGCATTCAGGTTCAGGTGTCCCTCGAGACACGAATGACGTCACGCCGTTTCTTTAAGCTTAAGCTGAGCAATTGATAGGGTGTAATACTTGGACGCGTCCAATAAACTGATCTTGTGACTATAATCAATTTTAGCCAAGCACCTAGGTTATTGCGTTCTTGATTATTTCTTACTTGTAAAAGATCAAGACCAACAGCCCACAAGATCTTATTGTATCTCGGATGTCGGACGTTAAATGACTTACAGGTACCTAACATAACGTACATTCGTGGTTCTTTCGCAAGATCGGTCCCGTTTTATAATCCTTGGCTCTTATAAGTCTTGGCCTTGCCAGGTATCTACATGTATCTACGTAAGAGGTAGGTACCTACATAATAAGCAAACTACAACACTTAAAAACTAGCCTGCTAAGGCTGCAAAATCATTTTTATTGACTGAATCTTTTCAGCTACTAAAGAAAGGCATAATAAGGGATCGGCATTTGTAAATACCAGCAGATGTGTGCCGCATTGCCGTGATACAACTCCAAACTTGGTAATACTTAGACGAATCCATCCCATCATTTAAAGTGCTATATATGTGTTACGGCTCGACGCTCGTATCTTTATTTTCTTTTTTTCTTGTTAGCAATCTAGAACTAAAAAAGAACCGGCTTCTCATCCTAGGTAAGTTAGTCTCTATTTTTACCAATTTACCAACATGGTATTACCCGTTTCAAGACAAGTTATCAGCCACTTATGACGACGCTCTTTTTATATGCCCTATATCGCTTTCACACAAGATGTTCCTATATAACATGTTTCTAACATTTCTTCATACATCAGGTAGTTTACTATATTCCCACCAATTTAATCTCTGGTGGTCACTCCTATTTGATTTTTATTTGATTTTTTCAATTGCTACAAGTAGAGCCAGAGCTCACCCCTGACTCCTTTGCGTAGTGATCATATAAGTTCACTGTGCAACCCACCTCAACAATCCCCTCCGACTTTCCTCGACGTCATCATTTTTACTGAAGCTGTTCTTATAATCATAGAATAAGTATATGCCGGTTCACAATGGCCGGCTCCCATGAAAATAGTGACGGACATGGCCACTCAGATGTTTCGGATAAGCTAAAACATCCATTCCATGAGTTAAAGGAGAAGCTGAGGGACACACATTTGCATGATGCCAAAATCAGCCTCATTCACCAAAAGTACGTCTCGGCGCTCGTTAGTACCACTTTTCAACCAAGTATATTAATATTATATTAGGCATAAATTTGGAAAACTCGCCAATCTCGTAAGTCGCTCTTGTATTAGTTAGTACCAACCACTGTCACGAACATGAACACTCATTAGGGCACGTATATAGTTTAATCCGCAGCACCGTCATGACGAAGACCACGAAAAGGCGACGGATGATAAACGGAATAAGATCGCCGAGAATCACCGCTTCAACTCATACTTTCCAGAACGTGACGGAAATCTCATCAAATGGTATGTCGATGGGAGAAATTACTTCTGGGTGAGTTTAACAATAAGTTACAACATCTCTCTGACAGCCGAGCTCATCTACTTTTATAGGCTGTATCGGAAGCTTTAGAACAGGCGAAAGAGACCATTTACATTGCAGACTGGTGGCTTTCTCCCGAGCTGTTCCTTCGCAGACCTCCATATTTCAATCAAGAATGGCGGTTAGACAGGATCTTGAAGCGCCGTGCCGAGGCTGGTGTGAAGATTTTTGTTATCGTATACCGTGAAGTCGAAGCTGCAATAACATGCAACTCGGCGCATACCAAACATGCGCTGCAAAGTCTATGTCCCGAGGGTTCACCGGGTTTTGGAAACATTACTGTCATGCGGCATCCGGACCACAATTTTCTGGAAAACGCTGCAGACATGACTTTCTACTGGGCGCACCATGAGAAATTCATTGTTATCGACTACGAGATGGCTTTTATTGGAGGCCTAGACCTTTGCTTCGGCCGCTGGGATGACCATCAGCATATACTCTCCGATTGCCACCCGGAAGGGGTCCGCAACGAAGTCTGGCCGGGTCAAGACTTCAACAATAATCGTATCATGGATTTTCAGAACGTCCAGGATTGGAAACAGAATGAACTAAGCAAGGCCGACTATGGACGAATGCCCTGGCACGATGTTTCCATGGGGGTGATTGGACCCTGCGTTTATGATATCGCAGAGCATTTCGTCCAGCGGTGGAACTTCATCAAGAGAGACAAGTATAAACGCGATGACAGATTTGACTGGCTAATGCTACGGGGGCGTGAAGGCGAGGATGAAGACCTCGTGGGCGTACAGCGCCCGAAACATCCAGTTGGTAAATACGTACTTCATCCCCTAACACATATGGAGACGAAGAACCTCAACAACCGAGGAACCGTCCACGCTCAGATCGTCCGAAGCAGTACCGACTGGTCTAGTGGCATATTAACGGATCATACCATTCAAAACGCATACTCGGAAATCATTCGTAACGCCCAGCATTATGTATACATCGAGAATCAGTTCTTCATCACTGCCACTGGCGACCAGCAATCCCCCATCCATAATACGGTAGGGAGGGCAATTGTAGATGCTTGTGTAAGAGCTGGTAAGGAAAGGAGAAAATTCAGGGTTATTATCGTTATCCCTGCTGTCCCGGGGTTCGCTGGTGATCTACGAGATGATGCGGCGACCGGAACACGTGCCATTATGGATTATCAGTATAAATCGATATGCCGTGGCGAACATTCAATCTTCGAACAGATTCGTGCCCAAGGTGTTGATCCTACCGACCATATATTCATCTTCAACTTGCGCTCATACGATCGCTTGAACAAGACACCTGCAATTAAGAAGCAAGAAGAGGTATCCGGCGTGAAGTATCAAGAAGTCCAACGTGCCGAAGCAGAGGAAGTTATGGGTGAAGGAATTTACGGCAATGAAGATGTCGAGGGCGAACGGGACGAACATATGGGCAAAAGAGAGGAGCAGAAGGAGATGCATGAAAACACCAAGAGCGCTGAGGCTAAGCGTCGCTTTGAAGCCGCGAGGCAAGAGGGCCAAGATACTAAGTCTGCTTCTAGCGTCGCTCATCATGCGATGGCCAATACCGGCAAACTTTCGGAGGAGATTTGGGAGGATGATCCTCAAGAGGAGGTCGACAACTGGATCCAAGAGGAACTATACATCCATGCTAAACTCTTGATAGCAGATGATCGCATCGTGATATGCGGATCAAGCAACTTAAATGATAGAAGCCAACTGGGTACCCACGATAGCGAGCTATCAATTGTAATGGAGGATACCGACAAGATTCAGAGCATCATGGATGGGCAGCCCTTTGAAGCAGGGAAGCACGCCGCTACCTTGCGACGATACCTCTGGCGAGAACATCTAGGTCTACTTCCACCACAACCGCACGACGCGAGTAATGACCCGAACGCGCAACCACCTGGAGAGGACTCACCTAACGATATTTGGGATAAGGACGAGAGTTACAAGTTCGTCGAGGATCCCATGAGCGACCCTCTGTGGGATATGTGGACTACAAACGCGACGACGAACACAGAGACATTTAGACATCTATTTCACGCGGATCCGGATGATCACGGTGAGTTTTTACTAGGCTCGGAGGAACAGCCGGGAAAGTATCCGTATCTAATCTAATTATAGTGAAAACATTCGACGACTATAACACCTTCCTACCACCCAAGGGCGTCAAAGCCGGCCACATATTCGACAGATACCTCCCGCCAGAAGATATTCGGGCAAAGCTGGACCAGATAAAGGGGCACCTCGTGTGGATGCCGCTGGACTACTTGAGAGATGTTAACATGGCTGAAACGGGGCTGCAGGTTAACTCGTGGACAGAAAGCGTGTATACGTAATGTGGCGATATAGGACGAGAGCTAGGGGCTTGGATATCTGCTACTGTTTGCGACGGGTGTAGGTGAGGTAATGAGGCGTTCTGTTATGGGCTTTAACGTGGTGATCTACGGCTTACAAGGTGTTGGCAAGGCGGTTTACTATGAAATAAGCCTCTAGTATTCTTGTATTCCAAAGCCTTGACGTAGTGATTGTTGGCTATGCTAGATCTTATAGAAATAATTCAAGATAAATAATCCATTTTCTGTTCTAGGCAAATATATTATATGAAAATACCAACGTCATACAGGATTTTAGGACGTGCCAATCTACCCAAGGCTTGACAGTAACGGGTAAGGGTATATCGTAGTCAGCCCTACGAAAGCTCGGCGTGTCTAAAATCAACAATCTAGCTAAGGCACAGCATTCCCGGCGAAGACATAATGCCCGAAAATTCAGCCCTCTACGACAGCGGCGTCTTATAATCCGCGCCCTGCCTTCTTCGACGTCAGGTACGCCGTTGGTGATTGGTGGGTAGCCGATGCCCGCCGGGTGAATTTGGTGCTGGCCTCCAATTTCTACCGGACCCAAAACCAACCAATAGCGCACAGCTCGGTGCTCGTATCTCGGTGCATAATCCTGCGAGAGTTGGCTGTGCTTCCATGGCCTAGCTGCCGCCGATGTAACTCGTCGAGAGGAGAATAGGAAAGCTATAGATGCCCGTTATATACTTGGCTTCGTTCCTACGTGGCTTATCTGCGAGTATAAATGGATGTCCGGGCCTAAGCCTGGGTTCCTAGTAATTGTAGTCGTGAAGAGATAGTTCTAGACATATTCCGGTAGTCGAAGAATAATAGTTAACGTCCTCTCTCATAATAGCTATGTTGCGCTTAGTTTCCTGGGCCGCGGCCCTATCTACTTTGGTCGCTGGGCATCCGCTCGCCGAGTGCTCGTCTAAACCTGCGGCGTTTTTCTTAGCGGGCGATTCTACGACGGCGGTCGACGGCGGTTGGGGCGACGGCTTTCTCGCCGCGCTCAAGAGTCCGGCTTGGGGCGTGAATATCGGGAAGAGCGGCGCGACGACAGCGTCATTCTCCGCTGGCGGATACTGGGCCAATGTAACAAAACACCTGAAGGATAACGTGGGCAAATATGATTCCTACGTTACTATTAGTGTAAGGACACCAGACTGAGTATGGCATAAAAAGGGGGGCACGCGACACCCTTCTTACTGGACTCGATAATGATGTATGGCCTATAAGCTAACCGATGATACATTTATAGTTCGGACATAACGACCAGAAATCAACCAGCGGTGTCACCTTCGAGCAGTACCAAGCTAATCTAATTCGTTTCGCTAACGAGGTCAAGTCACTAGGTGGCACACCAGTGTGTATCCCCTATTATTCCCAGGGAGGGGGGAAGAGAACTTTGGGTGGAGTTGAAGAAAACACAGAAATGGGAATACAGAAGAGGCAAATACTAACGTAAAATCCAGCTGCTAACATCGTCACTCACACGCCGAGCCTTCCCCTCAAACGACGATCACAATGCCACGGATTCGCTGCACGACCAGCGTCTAGCAGCCATCGCGGCGGCCAAAGCGACGGACTCAACTGTCATCGATCTTAACGAGGCGAGTTTAAAGTACGTCAACGCGATCGGGAAGGAAGCCGCCTACGAATACAACTATGGTTCAGACAAGACGGACACGACGCATCTAAACGATCACGGAAGCATCGTGTTCGGTCGTATGGAGGCAGACCTGATCATCCGCGCAAAGCCATGCTTGGAGAAATATTTCACCCCTAACAAGACCCTGAGCGACGCTATTTGGAACAATCAACCTGCATGAGGATCTCAGGACTGACGGGATATTCTTGTTGAATTTGTGGCCATCTGACTTTTCTGGGTAGTGGTGATCATGTTAATAAGTACCTAGATTTAAGAGGTACCTATGCTTTCACGAAATGCGTAAACATCGCCTCGTGTTATTTTAGTCTACGCCATTGGTGTTGATTCCCCGTGCTCCCGGCTGACTGGAATGTAAAATTGTTGAAATTCAGATGTCCCACCCATGTAACATTATATTATATCCCCAATCACCATCCCCTTCCGGCCATCTTCTGCTCGGGCCTCATGCTGTTGACGCTAATACCAACCATTGCCTCGCCGAGGCCTTCACTACATTCGGCTAGGACTTTCGGGTCTCGGAAGTGTGTCGTGGCTCTCACGATAGCCTTAGCTCTCTTAGCTGCATCTCCGGATTTGAAAATACCGCTGCCGACGAAGACTCCGTCGCAGCCTAACTGCATCATCAATGCAGCGTCGGCGGGGGTTGCTACACCTCCAGCGGCGAAGTTGACTACTGGTAGGCGACCGAGTTCTGCGGTCTGCTTGAGCAACACAGCGTCACACTCAAATTCCCTCGCTAAGGCCCTGATGGCCAAATCACCACCCTCCTGAAGCGCGGATCTGGCCCGAGCAATGTCACGGTTAACCGTGCGTATATGCTTGACGGCTTCAACAACGTCTCCTGTACCAGCCTCGCCCTTGGTTCGAATCATGGCGGCGCCCTCAGCAATGCGCCTCAAGGCCTCGGGTAAGTTCCTGCAACCGCAGACGAAGGGTACCTTGAAAGGGCTTTTCTCGACGTGGAACGTATCGTCGGCGGGAGTAAGGACCTCGCTCTCGTCGATATAGTCCACGCCTAGGGCTTCGAGGATCTGGCACTCGACAAAATGACCAATACGGGCCTTAGCCATGACAGGAATAGTCACAGCTTCCTGGATCTCCTTGATCTTACCAGGGTCTGACATGCGCGCCACGCCGCCCTCTGCTCGGATATCGGCCGGGACACGCTCGAGGGCCATGACGGCGCAGGCTCCAGCTTCTTCAGCAATGCGGGCCTGAGCGGCGTCTGTTACGTCCATGATGACGCCTCCTTTCAGCATCTGGGCTAACCCTGCCTTGACGATGAAGTCAGACTTGGAAGAGGAAGGTATCGAGGAGCCATTGGCCGACGCCGAAGCGTTGTTTGCATCGTTACCCGTCATGATTGCTGGTTGAGTTGTTTCGGAGACGTGTATGGTATCCGAGGAGGCGATACTTTTGACTGGCTGAACTTTCTATTTCAGAGTCTGAACTCTTCAAGAGGCTCTTTAAATAGAAGAATATACGCAGGGGTAAAGGCGTTTAAGTCGGCACGGCACGTAAGTTATGACTGAGGGCGTCTGGGGAGAGGCAACAAGAGACGTGAGGATATCAGAATTTCTTCACTTACGGTTGGTACATCAGAATAACTTACTCATACATGCGTAGCTTGCCGTCTATACCCGTCTCCAAAGGCGGGAAATTTCAGAAGCCGGCCGAGCCTTATAGTCATTCAAGGTGACAAAAAAACAAAAAAAAGGGCTCATTCACCCAATCAGATGACTGCCCGGGAATCAGATGGAGCCATGACTTTTCCTAAGAAGGGTATAGATCGAGAAGTCTAAATGACCCAGAAGGACCCATGCTTAGTTCGAGAGTCCGATCAATTGAAAATTTTACATGGCGAGTTGGCGAGAAAGATGAAAGAAGAGGTACTACCCCGTACTTCGACCGGGATGACGCATACGGCATCGCCGGTCTCGGGGGTAATAGTAGCAGATGCGGTAACAAATAAGATAAAGATAAATATTCATGGGTGCTGGAGGGTGGGTTATGTGTGTAAACGGGAACGGGAACGGTAACAGTAACGGTAACCGGATAACAGGAGCAGAGGTAACAATTAAGTGTTTTCAAGGTTAAGTACCCTACCTGTTGGGGCCTACGCCAAAAAGATTTCCGCGGGATGCGACAGACTAAGAAATAGATAGAGATAGAGAGACACTAATAAGCCAGACTAATAAGAGAGAGAGAGGTATTTACCTATACTACCAACCTGCGCAATATAGAGACATATAAAATACCTAAATTACCTAAAGCTCCGAATAATCCGCATCTATCAAATCCCGGATCTGTCGACCTAATCCCGGATCGTTCCATAGTGTCGGTTGACTAATAACGAATATAGTTGACTGGCTTTCGCCAATCACTTCGCGAGAGTATATTTAGGGATATCGTGAAGACGTCTTAGTCCCTGACGGAACGAATATGGTGACCGTCGGTGTCCTTGCTCTCCAAGGGGGCTTCTCGGAACATCTCAGCTCCCTTCGTAAAGCAGCCACACACATCACAACTCCGTCGTCGAACTTCAACTTCATCGAGGTCCGGACGCCAGAACAGTTGGCCACATGTGATGCTCTAATTATACCCGGAGGAGAGAGCACCACGCTATCTCTCGTAGCCGCACAGTCTGGGCTGCTGGAACCGTTACGCGAGTTTGTCAAGTAAGTCTAATACGCATATACGACGCCCAGAGGAATGACACAAAATCGCTAATCTCGGGGTTTGGCCGGCCGCATAAGAGTAAACAAGAAGCCAACTTGGGGCACTTGTGCTGGTCTTATTTTCCTGTCTGAACAAGCGAGTGCCGCTAAAAGAGGCGGGCAGGAATTGATCGGAGGACTCAATGTCAAAGTCCATCGCAATCATTTTGGCCGTCAAAAAGAAAGCTTCGTGACGGATCTAGACTTGCCCTTCTTATCTCAGGGAAGCGACGGAGTTAAGGCTGCTCCTTTCCCCGCCGTGTTTATTCGAGCTCCTGTTGTAGATCAAGTATTAACAGGCGACATTACGTCAATCGACGACAAGGCGGAGAATATAGCGCCAGAGGTCGCGACGCAGAATTCTGGAAACAAAGCTCAAGCTCTCAGAGGAAAGGTTGAGATCTTAGCTACTCTTCCCGGACGTCACGCCTCCAATAAAGCTGCGGCGGCGTCGATTGAGGGTACTGATACTCAAGCAGTGACACCTAAAGGAGCAGGAGATATCGTCGCGTTAAGACAGGAGAACGTATTTGGAACGAGTTTCCACCCGGAGCTAACGGATGATATTCGAATTCACGTTTGGTGGTTAGAGCAGATTGCGAGGTTGCACGTATAAACGAAAGAATTAGACTTGGAGATATTCATGAAACCGGGAATTAATATTGATGGAGTGGTGGGAACAGGTAGTACAGTGTTGTACGCGTATATGTAATGTGAGTTATTGTATAGCGGCTCCCAGGATTATCTCGAATTCGCACTCTTTTTCTAGGATATATGATATTTCCATCATCACCCGCATACGGAATCATAAAGATTTCTACTGACATTAGAAATAGTTCAACATCGGCTTTCTCCATCAATTACCGTCTCCCATCCTAGTAAATCCGGAGACTCCCGAGATGCCTTAGGATAGATAAGGCGCATAGAATAAGCTAGTTGAAAATGTGATGTGTCTAACTTTGCGGGGTACATCGGGTGGGAGTTCAAGAATGGGGGGTTATACTTGGGTTCCGTATACCTACCTTGTTTTGGAACAGGGTATTGATAGACGGATAGACTCTGGCGAGTACCAATCTAATAAACTTGAGTAGAGGAGGCACTCGACTGTCGGCCAAAATACTCGTGATAATTAGACAATTTTACATTGGATTCGCATCATTTGGATATTAGGTTACTATTCTAATTACCTCGGCCTCGTACTCTATTCCACCATGGGTAAGAAAAAGGTGCTCGTCGGGTGAGCAAATACCTAACCTAGTTTCATGGATATTAAGATATGAATAACTATCAATAACTAATAAAGCATGACACCAGGTACGGAGTAGACATTGATGCTGTAGCCGGTTGGCTTGGCTCCTACGGGGGCGAGGATAGCACTAGCGACATCAGCAGAGGTTAGACCTCTTCCCATGTTATAGTGATTAAACTGCGTATCTAACGCCAATCGTCCCCTTTCAATTAGGACTCTGGGCTGGTACGATTGGAACCCGTCGTCTGCTCAAACTATTCGACAAGTATAAAATCAAGGCGTCATGGTTCATACCAGGTCATTCGCTTGAGACATTCCCGGAAGAATGCGCCATGGTGAGAGACGCCGGCCACGAGATCGGTCTCCACGGATACTCTCATGAGAATCCGGTCGACATGACACTTGAGCAACAGCGAGATGTTCTCGACAAGACGTATAGACTTCTTACCGAGTTCTGCGGTAAGCCGCCGAGAGGTAGCGTTGCGCCTTGGTGGGAGACGAGCAAAGAAGGGACAGAGCTGATGTTGTCTTATGGTATTGAGTACGATCATTCTATGTCCCATGAGGACTGTCAGATGTATTGGTTGCGCACTGGAGACTCATGGACCAAGGTAAGCGCGACGAGGTCATTTACGATTTACTTAATATTGTATCTGGTGGTGAGTTGGGTATTTCTGAATGCCAGCTAATCCTATCATAGTATGTCATAACCATTCCCTTAATTTACAGTTAGTGTTTGGAGAGCTGCGGATATTTATTGACCCTGAACCTGCGATATATATGGGAATACTGCTAAGTTATATCAGGATCGACTATAATAAAAAAGCCGAAGAGTGGATGAAGCCCCTCATTAAGGGGCAACCCACAGGCATGGTGGAAATCCCAGGCTCATGGTATATCGACGATCTTCCTCCTATGATGTTCATGAAAAACTCGGCCAATTCGCACGGCTGGGTTAATCCGAGGTTCGTGATAGACTCGGAATATTATTATTTCTCGGGTCTAATTACTAGCATAGGGATATTGAAGACATATGGCGTGACCATTTTGATTATTTTTATCGCGAGTACGACGAGTTCATCTTCCCGATGACGATTCACCCCGACGTATCGGGCCGGCCGCACGTCCTCTTGATGCACGAAAGGTTGATCGAGCACATCAACAAGCACGAGGGGGTAGAATGGATGACGTTTGCCGAAGTAAGCATTGGTTTATAAATGAGTCTATTTGTTTAGTGTTGCTAACCGTTGAAGATGTGCGACTACTTCAAGAGTAAGAATAAACCACCCGAGGGAGCTATGATGCCCGCTCCTCCGGGGGAGATCCTTAAGAATTCGGATGAGTAATTGAGGTGATGAACATAGACGGTCGGACACTAGAGTACGCTTATACCTAGGTAGGTAGGTAATAAGCTGAACTATGAGGAATCTCTGCTGGAATCGCCTCTTGGTTAGGTGTAAGTGGTAGTAATACAGATTATTAATTAAGGAATCAGGCAAGATTAAAGAATGTTTACAAGCCAATAATGAGGTTATTCCGACCCTTGAAAATACTTGGGGGCATGTAGGAAGCCAGGTATCTATCCGGTAGTAACTCGGATTAATCCTTAATTACTGATCGTTTTCTTAATTAAAGAGTAGCACCTCCTGGGTGTGAGGAGGTGAAGGCTAGCACTACCTAATACCTATTAGTGCACATGTCTCGAATAATGTTATCAATAACGGTGCCGATTGCGAGGACTTTCTCTTCTTCGAGCTTCCTTCCAACTATTTGCACCCCAACCGGCAGGCCACGCTTGATCATCTCCTCCTTTTCTTGAGTCCATAGAACATTATTCCACTCATCTAGTACATTCCTCGGCGTGTGGTTCCATGGCGCGAAGCCATCGACAGAAGATATTCCGCCTGCTGGGATAACCAGAACCGAATAGTCTAAGACGTTCCATATCTTAGTATATCCCACCCATCGACAAGCGCGATGGGGGACAGCTGTATGTGGCATCGGCGGCATCAGCACGACATCGACCTGCTTTCCTGTCTTTGGTGATCTAATTCCATTCCATTTCTCGAGATACGCTTGTTGGAGCGCTATTTTACGCTTGTTCAACTGCCAATAATCGTAGACAGAAATGGGCTGGCCTTTGTTGACCAAAGCTTCCACGTGGGGAATAAAGGGTTCTCCACCAGCTTGAACATCGCGGCGGATATCTTCGCCACCGTCGGCCGTATAGAATTCATCCTAAAGACCACGAATATTAGATATCAGAAAATAGAGGTAGACGATCACGAAAGATGTTATCTAACCATAACTTGGATGCACTCGGCGTGGAGGTTAGAATTCCATTCAACGATGTCATGACCGGCGTCCTGCAGCCACTTCACCAGTGAGAGAAGTACCCGCGTAATCGGCGGGTGTGGTCGGACTACCCCGTCGTCAATAAGCAGGCCAATTGTCAGCCGCTTAGACCCGAAATCCTCGAAGATTTCTTCCCTCCATGGTATAGGTACACAACGGGCGTCATGTTTCCAGGGTTCTAACTGGATCAGCTCTTTCATCACTAGGGTCAGCGACGGCAGATTTCTCATTAGTGGTCCTACCGATGAAGGAACATGGTCTTGCCCTTCGGTTGATACAGGTACTCCTTGATATGGGAGACGGGAGCTCTAAGGCGGATCGTTGTCAGTTAAGGCTTTGCTTTCAGGCGGTTTTAAAATAAGAGATATCTTACACTCGGCTTGAACCCGTATAGACCCATCATATGGGCAGGTATCCGAATACTGCCACCAATATCTGTTCCCCAACCAAGAATACTCCCATAAAGGGTTAGTAGCGCTGCCTCGCCGCCTGTCGAGCCGCCGGGCGTGTAGTCCTTACAGTTAGGGTTCGTGGTAAGGCCCCAAAGCGGATTCTCAGTCTCACACCACTGTAATTCACGGTCAGATATCAACTGTCTTGTAGCGCCGAAAGTAAATCTGGCCTCACCATTATGCTCTGAGGAAGATTCGTCTTGGCCAGCACAACAGCACCGAGTTTCTTTAGCAGCGCGACAAGAACCGCATCTTCAGTCGCGGGATTGAATGCGCGGCCAACATAACCGAGTGTGCTATCGTAGCCTTTAACATTAAATTGGTCTTTAAGGGTAACGGGAACACCATGTAGCGGTCCGATAGCATTCCCGTGCTCTTTTTGATACTCATCGAGTTCACGAGCCCACGCCAAGGCGTCCTCGAAGAGAATTTCAGTAAGACTACCGCCATCGTTAGCCAGCTGCCGACCGAAACCTCATAGTCAACAGGCAACCAACCAATTCGTCTAATATTATCGAGAGAGACACAATCAATATATAATTTACAGCAACATATCCGAGTGAAAGGCCGTCTACCTTATTATGTGCTGCGACAGCCCTGTCGAGATGAATCAAAATTAGCAACTTCGAAGATCATCGAATTTCGACTCAATGTACGTAGTAAGCTTCACGGAACCTTTCGATATATGCTCCCGTCACAGCTACAGAACTTAGCCGGCCAGAGGCAAAGTTACCGACCAACGTCGAAATATCCTCGGTGTATAGCAAGGCCTTGTCAAACTATCATTCCAATCGATTTCAGCAACCACGACAGTTATAACAAACGCAGTTTGCTCCTCAAATGACTTCTTACATGTGGGATATTGTCTGCAATAGCTAGTGCTCGCTTTTGAGCTTCGCGCTTCAAGCGGACCTTCTCTTGCCATCCACCTGAGATTTCCGCCATTACGCGATGATCTTTTCTTTACCAAGACGTCGAATTCACCAGAATGGAGATAACTATATGATCATGTAGCTTAACTTATTTCTCATTAATGTACCTAAGGCACTGTGTAAGGCTGGCTGGCTATGAGGGGTATATTTCCGGTGCCAACCCGTCAGCCCGTCGGCTTCATAAGCAACGTGCTGCCGATATTTGAGAAGTCTGCAAGAGATAGGCTGGAGACAATGTCTTGGCAGATATCAATACATACTGCGCAACATGCAGCCTACCTTATCCGTGCTCTCTACTACTACATATTGTGTATGTATGTGTATGTATGTGTATGTACATAAAGTGGTGTGATATTTGACATTTTAGACAGGGATATTCAGCAGCATATGTAAGTGGGTTGTCAGACGAAATGTACCCTAATGCCGGTACCTGGATAGGTTAGGTATAGTACCTATGTAATAGGATAAGGAGTACAATACATAAGTAAAGAATGGGGGGAATGGGGGAGGGGCAAAAGGCAGAAAAAAACATTTCAGGGGGGTTTATTATGGATAATGATCTTCCTTATTCAAACAGTTCGAGGCAGGTCAAAAGCTGATAATGACAAGAATGGCAATAGTTCTAGAACAAGTCGAAACAACCCAGTGTTTTAATGTCCAGTTACACGTCGCTTTCGCCTCTTAAGCCCCCATATGTTTTTCTATACTTATGTACAATATGTACTTCCCCCCTTGTCCCCCCCAGTTTGAACTAACCCGACCAGCCCGACCAGCCCGATCTAGGGGACCCGGAGTGGTTCGAGAATGGCACCAAACCACCTGACAATGGCCTGAGCACAGTGCGAATTAATATTTTTATAACTTTATCTACTCAAGTGAAGGACTGAAGTGAGCTCTCCATTCGTTCCCTTGGCCTACCAGACCTTATACAAGATCTTACTTTGGCTTTCAAAAAGTCACCAGACGGAACGCTGTTCGCCGGTAATACATACACAGTCTCCATTGAGACTCAAACTCGACTCACCTATCCCCATTCATCAAATCAATCCATCTTACTGATCGGACCAACCGTCAACGACCTACCACCACCACTTCACCCAAACGCCGCCTCGTTACTCTTTGCTACCTCAAAGCAAGCCACCTTGCTATTTATTGTGCTCTGGTAGAAGCCTTTAACGTACTCGCATGAAATAAATCTTGTCTAGGGAATTTCCACCGGCGCCATGCTCGTAGATGAGGTAAACGGTGTGCGACAGAACGGCGACACCAACGGCAGCACCAATGGCGAACTTAATGACCACGGTCCAGCCAAGCGCCGTGAAACCAACGGCTCACGACACAGCTCCGAAGTCTGCGTCGTCGGAGCTGGGCCTGCCGGCTTGATGTTGGCGTAAGTTGCATTTTATTCCCGTTTTTCCTTCTTTTTTTCCTTTTTTTCCTTTTTTTCCTTCTTCCTTCTTCTTTTCCATCCGTAGTCTATAGTTATAGAATGAAACGAGAAAAAAGAGTAAGGCCGTTGTGGTCGCCACCGTTATCGTCTTCATCTCTAAAATACCCTCCCCAACGCCTACGCTTACATCCAAATCATGCAGCACTTTATTAGCTAGATTCGGCATCAGCGTCGAGGTCATAGATGAGAGGCCTGATCAGACTCAAGCTGGTCGTGCTGATGGGTTGCAACCCAAGACGATAGAGACCCTGCGTCAGCTTAGACTCGCAGATGGTCTATTGATGAGAGGCGCTAAAGTGTATGACATATGCTTCTGGGAAGCTACTGCAAACCGCCGATTAAGACGCCTGGGTCGTGAGATCCACTATCCGGCGTTAGTTGTTGACCTTCTCGATGACTACATCCTCCTAGTTCATCAGGGGGTTGTAGAAGGGGTCTTCATAGAGGATCTCGTAAAGCGGGGTGTCCAAGTGAAGCGCAGTCATCAATTTCAGACTTTTAAACGACAAGAGGATGACGCAGGCTTATTAGAGATTGAGTGTAAGGCCACAAGTACCGGGGAAAAGGAGACGACGTTATCCAAATACATAGTCGGATGTAAGTTGCAAACGAGTCTACACATTTCAGATACCCCTGACTGACATTATTAGGCGATGGCGCCCGATCTAAGGTGCGAACCTGCATACCAGACACATATTCAGTAGGCAAATCTCATGAATCTGTGTGGGCGGTACTCGATGGAGAACTCATCTCGGATTTCCCGGACCTCTGGTCTAAAACGGTCGTCTATAGTGAGGTGCACGGTTCCATACTTATTGTTCCGCGGGAACGGGGCACTACTCGATTTTACGTCGAGATCAAACCGGACACCGAGACCGGTAACTTACGAGAACTCGGACAAGAGTTCGTCATGAAGCGTGCCAAGCAAATCTTGGCGCCGTACTCGGTTGAATGGCGTACCGTGGAATGGTTCGGTAATTATCAGATCGGACAGCGAATAGCTAACAAATTCACCGACCCGAATCTGCAGGCGTTTATTGCCGGAGATGCAAGTCATACACACTCACCTAAAGCCGCGCAGGGTATGAACACTAGTATGCACGACAGCTGGAACCTTGCGTGGAAATTGAACCTCAGTTCGAGGGGTTTAGCTAAGCCGGTTCTGCTCGAATCATACGAGATGGAGCGTAGAAAGATTGCTCACGACCTCATCAACTTCGATTATGAGCACGCTAATAAGATGGCCGGTGGTGACGCCAAGGCCTTAGCCGAGAACTTCCGCACGAACGTGCGATTTATCTCAGGAGTCGGCGTCGAGTACGATCACAACGTACTTAACCATCCGTCCAAGCGCAGTGGGGGCGAGCTGAGACCGGGATGTCTCGTTCCACCTGCTAAGGTAACACGATATATCGATGCGAATCCGATCGATGTCCAGCTTGACATTCCCATGTTAGGCCAATTTAGGGTGTATTTCTTTGTGCCAGACATCCACAATAGCATGCCGTTCCTTCAGACCTTCTGCAATGGGTTGACAAGGCAGGACTCATTGTTTAGGAAACTGAGTCAAGCCGCCGCGGCCAGTTATTTGGAAAAACCACGAACACCCACTTCCGAGGACGTTTATATACGTTCGGAGAGATACACAAGCGTGAGCGAACTCACCACGTTTGCACTTATTAGTAAGAAACCCCTGATTTCTACCTATTCTACGTATTTTTTCACAGGATGAATTTAAATAAGCTAACCCCTTATGCAGCAACGATGGAGAAAGCTAGAGTTGAGATCCAAGATCTACCCCCTCTCTTCGCTCGAAGTGCATGGACATTCTACCTGGACAATGTGCCATACTTAGACACGCGCAGACAGACGTGCACGAGCAAGTGGGTAGGAACTCTGCAGAAAGACGAAGTCTCCATCGTGATCCTACGACCCGATGGCTACGTAGGATCGATTAGCAGATGGGATTCGCTGGGCGTTAACGCTGGTTCTACGGCAGCCGATTGGCTCAATTCTTATTACGACGGATTCCTTAAGGTTCCTGACGAGAAAGCGAGGTAATGTTAAGCTACGAGCATAATAAGGAGGGGGGTGATTTGAGGAGCAAAATGCGTGCGTAACAATGTCTATGGGTTAATTTTTATCAGCATTTCGGCAAGTTGTACGGTATACTTCACATTGGTGGCATCCAGGGGTTACATGCACTCTTAATTCACACTTCCCTTTTCCTTGAGTAGGTAGTCATCCTCACGAGGCCCCCCTGATTGTGTTTCGAACTACTCATCATAGTGTAGATATTCTCGCCGTAGAATTTTTGACGTCTAACTAGACCGTTGTCTCACGACGAACAGCTTTGGCCTTTATTTTTATTTTTATATCGTGCGTCCATTCGAAATACATGCACTCAGACAGTAGTATCATCAAACTGCCCTATTAACCTCCACGGGATCAAGCCTTTAAGCACGGTGACGCCGGCATGCACGATTCCCCAGCGAACTTTACTCAATACCTCTGCCATAACCCACACCAAACCGCTAGTCCGCTTCAGCCCCTGTATTTCAGGTAAACCACGAACCCCCGCTTCTACCATCGAGTCTAGAAGCATCCGCATCTCTGCTTGAGCATCCCACACTAGTTCGCTATCATCTTCGGGACTGGAACCAAACCCCTTGGCACCGGTGTGATGAAATGTCCATACCGTCAACGTGGCTAAGTAAAGACACCACGGTACGTGGAATAGGCCCATGGAATCGAAATCGACGAGCGTCTGCGATGCGCTTTGGAGTAATTGGGCCGCGTGCCAAACTGCCGCCACCGCGCTGGCAGATTCGTCGGAATTGTCAGATCCTGGGATCGTATGGCTCATAGCCCATCGTTTCACGACCTTTTCCGAGCGGATAAAGTCAGTTCGTTGGACGGACCGCCCGAGAATATGTCGCGCGCCGGCAAAAATTTGTATGTCGAGGAACTCCGAGTGTAGAAGCGTATGAGCTGCATGGTATACAGCCACGTACGCGGTACGCCAGACGCCGAGTTCGACTTTTGCGTCTTCGGAGACGGTGCCCTTTCTCATCTCCACGAACGTGAGGTCCGACAGGTGCAGACAGAAGTTGTCGAAGTCTACTTTCCACTCGTGGTAAGCGTTTCCAAGACGGTTCTGCCATCGGCCGCCCTGCGAGGAGATGACGCCGAGACTGGTCTGGTCCCGCCGCCGCATGTCCCAGAAAATGGACATTAACCCGTGGAAGATGAATATTCTTGATAGGCCATTGAGTCGAGGGCAGCGATGCGTGTCACGCGCGATGTATGACTTCAGTGCTAGGAGGTACATCGGCTCAGGGGCTGTGGAGAGCGAGACGCGTGACCACTCGGCGGCTGTAGATGCCTCCCATAGTGCTTGGTTGCAGGGTAGAGGGACACGGAGCTCGAAAGCTGACATGCAGAGAGATTGGCAGAATAGGACGGCGTGTTGGGTATCCCACATGAAGCATAGAAGAGCCAGCCTGGATATTTTCATGTTAATAATCATAATGAATAAACACCGAAGTCCGCAGGATATTAAC